GGGGGGGGGGGGGGGGGGGGGGGGGGGGGGGGGGGGGGGGAGGGGCGTCCAACAGACGGCTGTGGTGGTGGTGTCGGTGTTTTGATTTGTAGGCGGAGAGGAAAATATGTGTAAGCTCTTTGTGTGGTACTATCGTGCGTGCTTTGGAGAGAGGGTTGGTGAACCCCTTTTTTTTCACGGGAAAATTTGAATGAGTGTATCTGAGTGACCGAAGCTGCTTGCGGGGGCTCCGCGAGGCGCGAACTGAAACGTCAGGCAAGACTCTGCGTTCGTTCGTGCCCACCCGCCGTCTGTCTTCGCCGCCGCTTCCGCGGACGCCATCCAGGGACCCCCCACGATCGTGCCGCCGGCCATGTTCAAGGAGATGGAGCGCGCTGCGCAGAGGCTCACCCAGAACATCGGCTACCGCGGCGCGGGGACGGTGGAATACCTGTACAACCCTGAGTCCAACAGCTTCTTCTTCCTCGAGCTTAACCCTCGACTTCAGGTTCGAATGACGAAAAGGATTGGTTTGCAGAGAGTGCTGGCTGCGCCTTTTCTCGCGTTAAGAATGAACGGCAAGCACGGCAGGAGGGGTGCGTGGGGGGACCTAGGGAGAGGAACCCTCCTGTATGACCACTGATTGGAGATAGCTCCGTACGTGGCAGAAATGCTCTCTGTGTGTGGGCCATCGATGTTACAAAGAGTCTCGTGCTTTTGCGCATCCCTCGCTCCTTGTTTGAATCAGCAGGAAAAGCGACAGCAAGTCACGTGAGGGTGTGAGTGCAGTTTTTTTAGTTCCTGCCTTTGGTATTTGGTTATTATCGTCCAACCCTCGGTTCCGTTAGTTTTGAACGGGGCGTTCTGAACGGCACCATACCTCGCCCTTCGTGTTGGCTCGAACATCGGGTTCGTGTGTTTTGTCAAGTGATCGAGTGCCCGTTTTTCTTTGGCTCCCTCCCTCGCCCCCTCCCTCTCTCTCTCCCCTCATCCTCTTGTGTCTGTAATCTTGATCATCGGGTCTCCGATTTTCTTTGGTTCCCTCCGTCATCCCCTCATCCCCTCTTCTGCCCCGCCCTGCAATTACTTCTGTTATTGATGGTATAATTTTAGGTGGAACACCCCGTGACGGAAGGGCTCTCGCTGGCGAACCTGCCTTCGATTCAGCTCCAGGTATGTACCACACCTCGTCATTCGTCTGTAGTTATGCGCGCATTGGGAGATAGCTTCTTTTTTTTTCTTGCCGAGGGTGCAATCCTTGGTTGACCTGGCATGCCCAAGGTCTTACCAGCATGTTCACGGAGTGCTGCTGGCTGTCTTGAGTTGCGTTGAACGCGTCATTAGATTGTTTTTCTCTCTACTTGTAGAGTGGAGCTGCCTGATGTCCCACCCTTCTTCTTGGTAGCAACCGCAGTGAGTTGTGCTGTCCACGACGGTCACTGAACCCTGTTGTTTCTCTGTTGATGCTGTCTAATACTGCCCCCACCTGTGATGGCATTTACTCGCGAGACATGTAAAGTTGTGGGCGCCGCCCACCCCCACCCCACCCCTTAACCAGGACCCCC